TGTAAACCGAACCATTTTCAAATATCAGTAACAAATTTTATATCTCAAAACTCTTGAAAACACTTTAAATAATTACTATCAAATAATTACGTATGTACCGTTTCAATTTGTGACAGTTATGAAGTTAAATTTGTTTGAACATTTGTTTTTCCTTCCATGGCCCTCTTACTTTAGTTTCAAAACACTGCAGTAATACATAACAACATTATTTGTTTCATCGAAAACAGTTAATATGAGCGAAAAAATTGAAAGATGATTTCCATGTAATATTAATTGTTTAATCATAAAGCATTGCAGCACGAGCCGAAGCCAAGAGCCGAAGGCAAGTGCTGCAATTCATACATACATATTTTTTGTTTTTTCATTGCATTAATTTTGATAGAAAATTCTAAGACTAGAATAAAGTATCAATATGAAAAAATATTAGTAAGACCCCAGTTTTTGATGGTTTAGTAGTTGAAATGTTTTATTGCGTTGTCACAGGGATGTGCAATGAAGTGATTTTTATGTTTTTCCTCAAAAACAAAGCAAGATACGAAAGAAATTCTGGATATGAAAAAGTTGTAATTTTAGTTGTTCAATGTGAAACAAATACAAAAATTGCAAAATAATCAGTGGCGCACATTTTTTCTGTCAAAAATATTGGTTACAGTGCCTTCCGGGACGCCACTGGACATGATAATTTTGATATAGTTAGGGTCAAATTTGCCCTTTACGACCGTGAATGACACTGCCAAATTTCAATAAAATCGGTTGAAGGGTTATTAAGATATTTACGAAAAAAACGATTTCTTTTAAAAATTTTGACACCCTGTATCTTGAAAACGAAGCAATACCGGACCTATGTTTATATGAACTTTTCGTCTCAGAATCACTCAAAGAATCACCCCTTCAAGTTTGGCCACGTACTTAAATAACACCCTGTATAATATAATGTTTTGAATGCATGTGTTGTCGTCTTATTACTAAGGTTTTATCATTTTTCAGAGAACAATGGAGGTATTTTTTCATACTTGCTAATGACAAGTGAATAAGTCACTAATGAAAAGTGAATGAGTTACTAATGACAATTGAATAGGTCACTGATGACAAGTGATGTGTTCACTAACCGTTATCAATCTGAAATTTAATGAAACAGGTCAATAGTGGTAGGTGTACATTTTCAGGAACACAAATATTCTTGTGGTTATTAACTTGTTTCCTTGTCCCATATAGTATACAAGTATTCATCTTCTGGCATAGTGGAGAGAATTACAGAATCTATCTGAAACATAATTTGAAATGGAAATTTATATAATAAGAACATCTCATGTTTTGAAGAATATCCATTTCATGAAGAATATGCTTGGTTCTGTCATGAACACATTAGACAGTCAACTATTATTCAATATTTAATAGAAAGTGTATAGACTGCCAACCAATCCCATGTTCCGAGTCCGGCACTGGATAGTTTTATTTCTATCAAGTATTTTTGTACTGAACAACTTTTTGTTCATCATATTTCTATTACACCTATATGATAGAAATTATCTACCGGTTGTCCCAACTATATTTACAAACGCATTTTCTCGAAAATGGGTGACATTATTAACGTTCTGAAAAATCTGGCTTAAATGAAAGTTTTTGCTTTTGGGTGTATGATAAATTGACATTCATCATACAGGGCGTGGAAAGAAATTCTGAATTGAGACTCTATCACGAATCTGCGTTCAATAGATATAATTCAATGTTCGTCATGGCATATAGCCTGGAAAGTAGTTGTTTTCAATTGAATAAACTGAAAAAGATTAGATATTCTCTTCACATAGAGAATGCGAATTCTCAATGTATTGCTTCATATAAATATATATCCATTTTTGTATGTCCATAATTTATCTGAGAATATTCCTTTTCAAAACTTGAATGAACGTGTTGCATGAATATTACGCATTTAGACCTACCCCTGAGTAAATACAACTAACTTCGTTTTTTTCAAATTCCACCCCCACTTTTTTTTTCGGATTTGATGCCATATCAAACTGAACAATTATCAATCATTGCTAAAATTTTCATCTAATGGGCATGTAGTTCTACTAATTGAAACATTGTCAAAATAATTGATAAACAGTTTTAAGTGAATTAGAAAAAAACACACTATATTGATTTAATAATTCTGTAAATGGATATTTTTTTGTGAAAATATGAATCAGTTAATTATATATATGAAGTTGATTTATATCCATTTTCTTAGTTTCCTTATATAAAAGTCTAAGTATAACGGAAGCTCTTGCATCATTTTGGATAGAAACTTTGAAAATCAATATCAGTAAAAGCATATTGGAATCAATATCTGTGCATTATAATTCTATGAAATGATTCCAATCAACTTCCCAACATGGCAAAAGAATTGTTAAAACAAGTCATGACTGTGTAGACAAAATAATGACAAATAAAAATAAATATGTTAAAAAATACAGGATTTTTCATTTAAAAAATGTCAAATTCATGTAGCCCCACGTTCAAAAAACATCCTGTGGAGACCAAACTAATTTGGTATTGTTGACCTTGAAAAATATTTTGTCTACCTCTTATCACAATTGAGCTATAGAGCTTCTCCACACTGCGTGGACACCTGGGTCTCCTGGAATTACAAAGACAAATTTCAACCACAGAGTCAAGGAACAAAAATAGTGAAGAAATTCATATTTATTTATATGATTTAATTTATTGATACCTATGACAAGACTTGATGTTTAAAAAACAAGGACGCATTCTGATTAATGGTTGTTTTTTGTGGTACTAGGAAAGGTTACAGACTGAATATTCTGTGTACTATGTGGTTCTGTTATATTTTCATGTATCTGTATATAAATTGTGTGTGAACTTCTTGTTGTCTGACATATCTCCTTCCCCCTCTGAAATTATGACAGTTCACTGAAGTCACACTACCTTTTGATAGTCAGCAATTTCAGCAGAATGTTGTGGAAATATTTGGAATGGATAGTGAATACTGAATAGTATGTCTCACAAGTATCTTTCACTTTCGACTTTTTTTATTTGGGAATGAAAATTCAGCAGATTCAATAGTGTCAGTTATATTTGGAATATAGCCAATATCTGTCCAATCCTACCTCCAATCTCTCCCATCTCTGTATTTTTTTGGTAGAGTGGATTACATTAACCATTAGTGCGTTCCACTAAACGATCGCAACGCCTACGCCTACGACCGCAAAATATCCCGTTCCACTACCAATGCAATGGATACGATCGTGTTAGTGGAACAGCAACGGTTGTTTTTCTGTGACATCTGTCGTTCGGGTTGACAATGACAAGTAAATAAATAAATAAATTATAAAATTCCAAAATGGATGCTGTTATAACTCGGTTGATTAAGCGCCGAAGGGATTCATCTGAAAGTTCCTCTTCTAGTTCTGATGATGACTGGGAAACTTCAAGAGATAGGAAGAAAAGAAAACTACGTCCACGTATACCAGGTTATACCGCTGTTGTTCACAGCTACTCAAATGATGAATTCAAAACTCATTTCAGGTTAGTATAAAATATGTTTTGGATCTCATAAACCTACAATTATTGATATATTTCTTCCCCTTCAGAATGTCGAAGGAAACATTTGAATTTCTTCTCAATATAATTCAAGAGGATTTATCTAGGAAGGTGAAAGGCTGTCCTACAATTCCAGCCCACCAACAACTCATGATTGCACTATGGAAAATGGCTACCATGGACTCATACAGGTAAGGTAAAATTCGAGTTCAAGGAAATCAGTTGATGTTAATGTAACTCTCCATTGGTACAGATCTGTATGTGATCATTTCAACGTTGGGAGAGCTACTGCTCTTAGAGCAGTGAGGAGAGTCACTAGAGCTTTATTTCTGAGATCAACATCATTCATTCGGTGGCCAGAAGGGGATCAAGCTCTTACTGTCATGCGAGGCTTTGAAGAATCTGGTGGGTTTCCAAGAGTTGTGGGTGCCATTGATGGCACTCACATACGCATCAATGGGCCAAAAGAGAACTCAGTTGATTATATTAATCGTAAAGGGTACAACTCAATTCAGTTACAGGTAATTCAGTCAATAAGTGATCAAATTTTTTGAATGTTATTTTCCAGTACATTTTACATTCCTTCATATAGCAGACTGTATGTTTATTGTTCAGTATTTACCAGTATTAAGACTCAATTGAATTTACATCATTACATTTTTGATAATACATATATTGAATGTAGAAGTGAATGAAACTAAATCAGCTATTTATTTTCAGTTGGTGTGTGACCACAGGACTATGATAACACATTGCTACATAGGATATCCTGGATCTTGCCATGATGCCAGAGTTTTTCAACAGTCAGAAGTATTAGACTTTTTGAATCAAGTAGAAAAGTTCCCTGCTGACAGCCACATTCTGGGAGACTCTGCTTATGAATTGCATCAACATCTACTCACCCCTTATAGAGATAATGGCCATTAGACTGTCAGGCAGAAAAATTATAACTACCGCCATTCAGCAGCCAGAGTGACTGTAGAAATATGCATTGGCCTATTAAAAGGAAGAATGAGAAGTTTACTGCATTGTTTGCCAATGTCAAGGGTTGATTTAATGGCAGAGTATATAGTAGCATGTTGTGTCATCCATAATATTTGCATACAACGCAGGGATGAAATGAATAATATTATCACAGTTCCACCAATTCTAGAAGTAAATAGAGAAAATATTCGACGTGGACCAAGACAAAATATAGGAACTGATAAAAGGAATGTTATCATGAATGCTTTGCGATTATGAAAGAAATGAATTGATTCATGCATACCAAATTTTGTTGTTATCCACTGTCCAATATATATAGAAATATGTATAAGAACTATGTGAAACTTGCTTTATTATTGTACATCATTTTGAACAACAAGTTGCAACTTAATATAAGACCTCTATAAATAATAAAACATAATCAGTATCAAGGAATAACATATTTCAGGAAACCAACTTATTGATATTTTCCATTATTTTTTCTCTACCAATTTTTCTAGAATGTCTAGAAACTTTTGATCCATTTCCATTTTTTCTCTATGCCTTTTGTTCCTGGCTTCCTCTTGATCCTCCTTTTGTCCTAATCTTTTTGCAAGTAATTTAGCAACTGGAGTTTTTGGTGACTCTGAAATCATTTTGAATTAGGTTTTGTATTAAAAATCATTGTTCAATCAATTCACCTTTCAAGCTGGTGTATTCTGACTCTGAGGCACTTTTAGTAGATATGCCTGATGAAGATGCAACTGCCACAGGAGCACACCAAGCTTTTTTTGAAAATATCTCATCCATTATCTGAAAATGATAATACATACATTACATACCTACCTAACCAAATCTCAACAAAGCAATTATCAGGTTTATTTTCAATCATTTTTATAAAAATAACATGCATTCTGGAAAAATTCCATACCTCATAAAAAGGCCAGGTTCGCTTATCATTGCCTGATTTATTATTGTGATCCTTGATGGATTTGTAAGTTATTTTCAGACTTCTTAATTTCGAAGCACACTGTGGTCCTGTGGCAGTGTACCCCTCCTTTTCCAGTATCTGTGATATTTCTTCCCAACTTTTTTTGTGAGAATGTTTTCCACTGAGAAATTTTTTTTCTAGTCTCCTATAAGTCTCTAGTAACGGTTCTACGTCAGAATAACATAGATCAAAAATTACACGTTAAAATATCACATGAATAGATATCATACACAAAAATATTATTTGAAAGAATATTATACATACAAAATTAACACATATAAAAATAATATAAAAAATAAATATCATAACACCATATGAACATAACATAATAATAACATTTTTCTGAATAATATTTATATAAAACAAACAGAATATTCCACTCATTTCAATATCTGTATTTATTATTGAATATCAACAGCAACATAAGATAAGTGGGTGAACTAATTCGTTATTAAAATTCTCATGAATATTACTGTACATCCGAAGTCGAACTTTTTCATAAATATAACTGTACATCCCGAATCGAGTATAAGACTTTTTCGAATATATAAAAAGGTATACCTAGTATAACTACCTATGGATGAGCTTTTTTGCTGCATCGGATGTTTTTGTCCATTCAGAAAGGTTAGATACGCATTGTTCCACATTTTACAGTAATCATTTACCTATCATTCATCATTCTCGTCTGATTTTCAAAGTCAGTGTTTCAACTATGCCGTTGAAATTCATCAAGAGCCAGAAGGGCAAAAATCAACTCATTCATGATAATTTCATATACAACAAACTCAGAGAAAACGACAGCAAAGTTGTATGGCGTTGTGTTGCTTATCACAAGTCCACGAAATGCTGTGCCCTGATTGAAACATCGTCTGCAAATAAAAATGGTAAGTATTAATCTCGAATTTTTTGCATTGACTCTCATAAAAAAATATTCCAACATGTTGAATACCTGATTATCATTGCAATCTTTCAAATTCATAACATTGTTAGTAATGAATAGGTATTTTATACCATCTTATCCATAGCTTGTTTTGTTTTCAGGAAATGTGCTGACTCTTAAAAATCACAATCACGCTTCGAATGTAACTGAAGTTGGAACTCGTAAAACTGAGAAAATTAAAAAATGAGCAGCAAAATCTTCAGAGCCTACAGCTTCAGTTATAAGTAAATCACTTACTTCTATTTCAACAAGTGTATCGGCACAGCTTCCTACTATTCCCCTTCTGTCTCGAACAGTACAAAGAACAAGAGAAAAAATCAATCATCATTTGCAAATGCCAAGAACCCGAGAAGAATTAGAACTCACAGATGTGTTCAAAAAGACATTGAAAGGAGAACCATTTTTACTCCATGACAGTGGTGGCAACAAAAGAAGACTCCTCATATTCGCAACAAAAAGGAATCTAAGGTGTCTCGCAGAATGCACTCACTGGTTCTGTGATGGAACTTTTCGCACTGTGCCAAAGATTTTCATGCAACTTTATACAATTCACGGAATGATAGATGGTAAAGTTCTGCCTATGGTTTATGTGCTAGCTCCTAATAAGTCGCACTATGTATACAAAATGGTTTTAAAAACTTTGAGAGAATCTGAACCACAATTATATCCAGAAGTCATTATCTGTGACTTCGAATTAAGTTTCATTACTGCTGCCCGGGATGCTTTCCCAAACACGACAATACGGGGCTGCCATTTCCATTTCGGCCAGAGTAGCTGGCGTAAAATACAACAATTGGGATTACAGCAAAGGTACTCAGAAGATGAAGAGTTTGATACCTGTATGAAAATGTTAATAGCTTTGTCATTTTTACCTAACGAAGACGTTATTGATGGTTTCGAAGAACTCATACAATCACTTTACTACCAAACCAACATGGAAACCATCGAAGATTCACTACAATATTTCAGAGTCACATGGGTTGGCATACGCCAGAAACGAGGGATCCGTCCTCCGCTGTTTTCAATAGAACTATGGAATTGCTATTCAGCTACAATAAACGATCAGCCAAGAACTAATAATTCCGTAGAAGGATGGCATAATGCATTCGGTAATAAAATTCAGACCAGTCATGCTTCAATGACAAAATTTCTTCAAGTGATCCAAGAAGAACAAAACATCACAGAAGTGATATATGAACAATTCATCACGGGCCGACCTATAAATCCAAAAAAAAGGAAAACATATAAAGATCTTGATTCGCGTATTACAAAAATCGTAATGAACTACGATCATGAAAATAAATTGGAGTATTTGAAAGGTTTGAGCCATAACATGAAATTATAATAAATATATTGCTTTGTATCTTGATCGAGATCTTGATGGAATGTAATCGAGGTATCATTCCGTAACCAACCTAACCTTGTTTGTTTTATCAATAACAAATATTGATAATATTGCATGATGTTATTTATTATTGATGTCATTTCATAATATTGTTATTCATTAAAATTGTTAATTGATGTTATTGTTATTTTTTCCAATATTGATTCAGTGTAATGATATTTTATTGTGTTATTTTTACAAATAATATTATTGAAAAATGATATTCTGGGGTGCTACCCTAGTAACAGGAGTACACAAGGTGCTGACCACCTGTACAGGGATCCTAAAATAATTTATTAATAGCATGTTATATTTATCTATACATTATAATATATCTTTAGTACCATCCCCTTCATCTTCTTGATTTTCAGAGGTTTCGTTATTTGATGCATATGATGGTACTCCAGATGTGCTTGCATCATCTTCTGCTAGTTCTTCATCATAGGACTGCTGCTCCTTCCTTAGTGGCAGCATTCATCAATGCAGTTGCATAATTAATGTCTTAAAAGGTGAACGTTGAACAATTAACAATTCCTAATAAGAATCTTATATACATCCTTTTTTTTCTCAGACAAAATAAAATTATCTCATGAGAGAATATCAGATGAACTGTAAACTAAATTGCTCACCATTACGGGCACGTTCTGCATCCTCAGAATTCAACAGAACTTCCACAGCTGTATTTTTTTCGGGATCAAAAAACATGATTTTTTCTGACGCCATTTTAGGAATAGTACTAAACTGGTAAGAAATATTTGAAATATTTTTGAAGTTTCCCTGGCAAATTTACTGAAACCACCGCCGACCCATCTAAAAACGGCGGGCGATGTGAGCTCAAATTGGTTATAAACGGTGACGTCATGGGTGACGTAATGATGACCAATGTAGCCGCCGCGATCGTTATGTGGAACGATCCAATAGGCGTCACGAGCGCCGCGAACGTTTAGTGGAACGCACTGCATGGATCATGGGAATAAAGTAAAATACATTAAATACTACCAGAGCTCCAATGTCTCCAATGTCTGTATTTTTTTGGTAGAGTGGATTACATTAACCATGGATCATGGGAATGAAGTCAAATACATTAAATACTACCAGAGCTCAAAGTATGCCTTCTTCTTTTTCAGTAAATCCTTACTTTACTCATAATCAAAATTCTCCACAGTTGGAACGAATTCAAATAGAGTTCATTATAGAATTCTCATTCATATATGATCACTTCATAATATGGTGCATGTTGTTTAATATTATAATGTTCAACCATTTAAACTTACTTTTTCATTCTTGAAGTAGATTATGGTTTCCTCCGAAATGCCTCTGCTTCTTAGAAAATCCTCCAGGGAGTCCATGGACATATTTGATTCCTCCTCAGAAGCCTTTAATTCATGAACATTAATTTCCAATAGCAATATGTTTATTCCGGAAATCGGGAATGGGATTTTTGAAATTGAATTGAACCACCAATGAACACATAACCAATAAAATATACATGAACAAGACAACCATAGATGAAACTGAGATGTTTGATGAAACATTGATGAAATCAATGAAATTGAACATTCATGACCATGCTTGAGTTATATAGTTGAAATAAAAAAAAAGATGACAATAACATGACAGGACTAGTGCTCCAATAGATGTTAGACCAAGACCAATCAGAATAATTTCAAGTATGGCGGGTAATTTCAATCTCTGTATACCAAATGAATTATCTAGAGATTTATATCTGATATTGAGTAGATTGGCTTTCCTGTATCTAAGTTTTTTTCATTCATATGCTACATAACCTGTCGATTTACTGAAATGAAATACATTTCATGAAACATCTGGACTTCATTGCCTAAGGAAGTATTTCCAAGAACTTATAATCCCAAGGAGTACAAGAAAAATTCCGAATCTACCTCCTCTCCATATCCTCCCTAGGTACGCACGATGTTCTTCGAACATTATAGGGATTCCCTTTCGTGCGCACCAAGCGATAATAAAATTTTGCATGGAATGATCGATTTTGACTATATATAACACGACAGGTGTATTGGTGTCAAATAATAAATAAAGCATCATCTGAAACTCTGGAAATATGAGTACCAGTCAGTCAAAAATTCATATAATTACCTACTGTTTGTCATTAACTATACCAATAATCTGATAAAATCTGATTACTAACCATCATTGATGATTTATCGTTACTCGTTACTAGTAAGGGAATGTCGGATTGGTCGAAATAACGTGTTAGAACTCGGAATTCTGAGTTGCAAGTCGGAATTCCGAGTTACAAGTCGGGATTCCGAGTTACAAGTCGGAATTCCGAGTTACAACTCGGAATTCTGAGTTGCAAGTCGGAATTCCGAGTTACAACTCGGAATTGAAATAGAAATAAGTTGATGACCTCTCTACGCCTTCGTAGTATTTTATTATGGTTCCCTTATAATTTTTTTTTCAGTGCGCATGCGCACCTCCCATCTTAGGACCGACCATAATAGGGCATTTACCAAAGTTCCCCCTATTCCAAATTTGAAGTGCGCATGCGTATATGCCAATGTAACGTCGACTGCTCGGCGTTATTTCACACTGCCATATCTCTCTAATGTTGAGATTCTCTAAACATATCCAGCAGAGCCGAAAATATGATTTCATTCAAAATGCAAACATCCAATAATGGTACAATATGTAATGAATCATATAGAGTTGAAATTCTCTAAATCCATACGAAGATGACCGAAAAATTTGATAGAGATATTTCAATCAGCCACTCACTTCATGAACAAGTACCAAGGAAAACTCAACAAGTGCAAAATTGAAATGTCAGTCAGATATCGGAGATATGAAATATCTCCTCAGTCAATTGCAGATTCCAGATAACTGACAACAGTGACAACAGAAAAGTGGAGTCACTATTCTATATCTCGAAGATGAAATGCTTATAACTATATGGTGTGGCTAGTTCAGTAGTAGAAGGCCTGGGTCAAAGTAATCGATGGGAACGGCAAGAAGCCAACTTGATATTCATGATTTTCATTAATTGGGTGATTATTCGCAGAAAAGCCAATGTTGATTTAAATGGCGTCTTGTGAATTTATTATTAATTTCCGAAGTTTGATGATATCAGTGAAGTGTTTGATAGTTTCAATTGATGACAAAATTCAAAACTCACAGAAATGTATTTCACAAAGTTATGTTGAAGGAACCAAATAAATAATGTTCGTCTACCGAGAAGTTGAAGATGTTGCAATTGTGAAGAAGTATGAAATAATTAAGAAAGTTGTTGGACATTCTAAGAGGAGGGGAGCATTATCTTTCAGAAATATTTCCGATTCACTTTCATCAGAGTAGTCTGAAGTTCTTTAAGTCATTTATATTAGAGAAAACTATTTCATTATCATTAAAATGTTTGTGAATAACCGACTCATATTAATTTCACATGGTTTTGTCTCTCTCTCATGCGATTTCCATGGAAACCTCGATGGAAACATTTGAAAAAAATAATTTCAGTGATCCGCTTTACCCGCGATGCGTTCAAAGTGGTTTTGCATGTAAATAGTTGGGTGATCTGCTTCACCCCCCTATGGGGTAAAGCGGATCTTCTTGAAAAATGTAAAATGTTGAAAAACGTTAAATTTTGATTCGCTTCACCCCGTTTGACGGTACTTACCATAATTGAAATACTGTCTTCACATTGCTGGAAACAAATTTGAAGCACACTTCACCGTCTTACCTCAAACCAAACCAATTTTTCAATCTCAGTTTCAATGTATTTTATATAAAAAGTATATTCTCTATTAATATTTGGTAGCTTTAAACAGTTGTCAGCCCACTAGCTAGAACATCGAAAGTTCAATGCAATATTGAGACTGTGCTAACAAAAATCATATGGTTTTATATTCACAAAAATCCTGAACAGCATCCTGAAGGCATTCTGATACCACATGTGTACAGGGTATCCCAATTTGGGCACTTTTGCGGGGTATCTCCCTTATCAGTAAAGATAGAGCATTGCGGTTTTCGCGACAGTGTGCTACTTTTTTATGAAATTAATAATGGCGCAAGCAGAATTGTGGTAGCTCTTCCGGTTGTCTAGATACAGGGTGGAATTGAAAAATATCACCCCTCGTGTCTCAGTTATCTTTGAACTTATCGAAGAAGTTAAAACTTGTTTTTATAGAGTTTTTCTCGTAGAATCCAGTGGCGTAGTTATTTTTTTGCTAGCACCTTTTGTTTTCTAGTTATGGAGCAAACATATGTTTTTTTAAATGGAAAATAATTGTATACAATTATATATTTTTGGAAAGCCCACTTCATGCTCAATGTATATATGAAATAATATACAGGGTGTTCCATTTAAAAAAACATATGTTTGCTCCATAACTAAAAAACAAAAGGTGCTAGCAAAAAAATAACTACGCCACTGGATTCTACGAGAAAAACTCTATAAAAACAAGTTTTAACTTCTTCGATAAGTTCAAAGATAACTGAGACACGGAGGGTGCCTGAAAAGTGATATTTTTCAATTCCACCCTGTATCTCGACAACCGGAAGAGCTATCACAATTATGCTTGCGCCATTATTAATTTCATAAAAAAGTAGCACACTGTCGCGAAAACCGCAATGCTCTATATTTACTGATAAGGGAGATACCCCGCAAAAGTGCCCAAATTGGGATACCCTGTACGTTTTCTGGGGACTTGACAAGGGTATACATATGTGAAAACCCATAATCATCTGTGAAGGAGCCTGGATGTGTAACCCATTTCAAGTGGAGGATACACTATGTGTTGTTGCAATAAACTATAGTACCAATTTTCTGCTCCCAAAGGACCCCGCACGAAAACACGGTAAATTGGCTCTCGGTCGAATTGGCTGAAATTTTACTATGTTATTGTGGGATGGCTCATCAGAAAAATATGTGAGTTTTAAAAGTTTTGTATGTTAAGTTTCTGAGATATAAGCCTACAAAGTTCGTAAAAACGTCGTATCGGGGTAGGATTGACGAAGAAAAAAACAGTTTTTCTTCTTCAGCGTCCCATGAAGAATTTAACTTTCCTCTTGGAGGATTGGGCTTTTTGCCTTCCTCCCAATTCCTCTTACTTCACTCTATTTCCAAGAAATAAAACAAATAATAAATTATGTTTTAGTAATAACTTTTTTCGCCTTCACGATGCTTTGAAGTAATTTCCACATACACTTTGCTATTTTGACTGAAGATGGCCATTTGAATGGCCGAAACATGTATCAACTTTCAACCCTATTGAAGCAGGATTGACTGCCTTATTATACATTGAAAATTGTGGAAACGACTTTGAGTTTTTCTCTATTGTTTAAGACAAAATAAGCTAGAAAATGTATTGATCTCAAAAAATTCATTTTTCGGAAAAAAAATTCGAGTACTATTGTACTGCAATCAGGTCAATAATTAATATTGTTTAATAACATATTGAACCGACTCAGCATATTCATTACTGAACAGGTATAGAAGA